CAAAACTTCCAAGTGTATCACCAACTGGCAATTACATGCTTTTCATTAACCCTACAGTTTACTAACGTGAAGAGCCACAGAGAAGATTTCAGGACATCCATCTAGGCATTCTTTCAGCTTATATAAACTTCAAACACCAAGCAACTCTGGTGGGTGAAACTGATGTACCAATGAATATAACTGTGCTCTTGAATGTGCAATTCCTCCATGAGAAAACCATCTATCAGGACTTAACTTCAGAGGCACCTGCTCTGTTTTCTGTATCAGCTAATGTTGTACATATTAATGCTCCCATCAAAATATATATTGCTCATCAAAGCCTGTGTTTCTGTAGGAATACCCATTCATGTACACAATGATGCAATATAGAAACTTTGTTCTGGAAAGATTTTAGCTTTAAGGACTGCACAAAAATTGCATCAGTATTACCTTCTGTGCACAAGGGAACACTTTCAGTCTCCCCCAGTCAGCACTCTACACAACACATACATTAAGCTCCTTTGGGAAGAAAGGTAGGTTTGGGGCTTTTTCCATCTTTAAGGTTTTGCAAATCACTGTGTCTCATGTATTCCCCATTCTCTTCTTGCACATCTCAAAGTTCAGGGTTGTCTCACTCAGTTGATTCAGGCCAGCTCCACAGCAGTCTCAGCTTGAACAGCAATGCCTGGTTTTTACCTCCATCTGGCTCAGCTCACCTGCTTTTGTCAAATCTAAGCCTGAGGACCTGGGACCTAGATCAAGCCATACCAGGGTCACATAGCACTTCTTCAGCTCATATGGTGCCAGTCTGGGGAAGGCAGCAGGTGGCTGATTTTGAGGTACGCTTATTCATTTCCTCTCTAATTCTTAAAAGCTGTTCTTTAAAATCATCAACTTTAATGAGCTGTTTCCAAAGACTTTGCCAGGGGAAGGGCAAGACCTTGAACCCCTCCTGCAGCAGAGCTCCTCATGGCCAGGCAGGAGTGAATGGCACCAAGGAAGTCCTGATGGGTTGATCCCAGTATCCTCTGTCAGGCTCCATGTGCTTTGACTGGAGGTGTCTCTTTCCTGCACTGCCCTGCACAAGCTGGGGAGAACACAGTGAACAGCCAAGGGCAGGTTCTCCCTGCCTTCACAGAGCAGTGTGGAGATCTCAGCACAGTCTACAGGGCATAGACCTTGGCTTTTACCTTCTAGTGTAGAACTAGTAAACATTGATGCAAATAAATGAGATTATGCTGTGTCTTCTAAAGAAGCTTAAGTCTCTTATGAATTCTTAGGTGTTTTTTTACTCTATGAAAGCTGAATTCCTCTACACAGCTGTCAGGTCGATTTAAAAATTTCCTTGCAAAAAGTCACAATTATTAATTTACTTATTACTTATATTGCTCTGTGAAAGCCTACAGACCTAATGGTCTGGCTGGAAACAACAAAAAATACCTACATGAATATACATGTTTGTCATTAGGAGCTAGTTACATCCAAGTGCCACTCTGACTAACCTGTCTGTAAGATATTATTATAATATCTTCTGGGACCTCAGCTGTCCCTAGGATAGAAGATTTCTTGCCTTCCTGCTCTTTATTTAGGGGTTTTCCTGTTTCATGGCTCCAAGATGCACACCTTGAATGCACAGGACCAAAATGAGACTGCCATTAGAGGGACGAGTCCTTACAGAGTTTCCCTGTAACAAACCCACACTAAAGTTCTGAGCAGGGCATTCTAGGGAAACATAAAGCAGAGAAAAAGGAATTTCATGTATGAATCACTGAGAAACATTTTACCATAAACGTAATCTGAATTCTATCATATAATGAAATTTTTTTCTTGCAATTACATTTCTGCTTTCGTCTTCCTCTGAGCACCCCCTCAAGAGCACACAGAAAAGAGACCCAGCAGTACCAAACACAAAATAAAGTGGTAGTGCCAAATGGCCAAGCCAGCACACACAGAGGTCAGCCACTGCCATTCCCACCAACATTGAAACCAGAGATAAGACCTCTGATGTGCAACAGCAGTGCAGAACCCAAAACAGCAGCATGTACATGAATGGCTGCCATGGCTTTCCAGTCACCAGCATCTCTGGCCATGCTGAAGCAGGACAGGAGAGTTGTGTACATGAGGAAGCCATTTCCCTGCCCTCCAGCACGAAGGGCAGCCTCAGACACCACGTGAGGGACTGGGCAGGGAGGAGGACATCCTCTCCTCCTCCTTGACAGGCTGCTGTGAGATAATCCAGTGTGCCTTGCCAGAGCAGCATCATGGCAGTGCTGAGTCAAGGCACTGGTCCTGGAAAGGAGACACCTCCAAAATCAACATCCAGGGCTTCCCAGCTGGCAGGGCAGGGCTGCACTGGAGGGGGAAGGCAGGCTCTGCTGCAGGGAGACACCACGGCTGTGAATCTTCCATTAAAGCGTGCAAGACACTTCATAGATCTTAATGTAATTTTAGTTAAACACAGTGAAAAACACTATGATCGGTATTATCTGCTCATACACCCACAGTGCTGGAGGAGGGGGTTGTTAAAAAGAAGAAAATAGAAATTGCAGGAGTCCTTCACACCAATACACCAGGCAGCTAGAACTGTACACACCTCATCTGCTTTTGTGAGCACCCATTTGCACATACAAGGATCTTGCACTAATTTGCAGGTTCTCACCAGGAAGAATAAAAATCTGGCTTCAAGTATAGTTTAGCTGCAGGAGGCACAGCAAGCAGCAGCAGTTAGAAACATTAGTTGTATAATCACAAGACATACTGTGCAGTTTACCTATTTTGACCTTGAGATGGCAAAGAAAGAAAAGGTAGCGAGGCAAGTACTATATGGTCCATCTACTACAAAGATACAACACAGAACTGAAAGTGAGATCAGTGATTGAACAATTAATAGATTCTCCTTCTGGCCCTGCATCTGCTGCAAATGCTGCTGTGCCTCATTTACCGTGCTGCTTAAACACGTTAAGGCAAAGCAAAAGGAAGAAGAGGAAAATAACTGAAGGAAAAAAAAAAGAATATGCAGATGAAAGTAAATTCTTAATGATGAAGAAGGAGGAGAGGAAGAAACTGAACAGAATGAGAAAGAATCATAGTTGGGGGCAATTTTTTTTTCTTTTAAGAAGTGTGACCAAAGGACAGAATTTTACATGCAGTTATTTTCCTGAAGACTGTCAGCAGAACTTCTGCCCTGACGATGTCACTGCCTTAGCCAGTGCACTGCATTCTACTGCCCAGGCCTGTGTTTGTGAGCTTGAGCCTTCTCCAGTTCCTCTCATCACTAGGATGACCACGTGGCTATTAGGCACAGCTATAGTTTACTCATATTGCAATTAAACTACAGGAAAGCATGTAAGCATGCAAGGGAAGTGATGGTCTAGCTCCTACACAACTGCAACCACAGAACAACACACAAAAAAACCCCACAAGTTCAATCTTGTTGTGCCATCAACCACGTTTCAGGTATTTAGGAGCAAACAGGTTTAAATCATATCCACATACACCCCCCTCGCTTTTACTGGATGCATGAAACTCGAATGACCACAAGCAACACACAAAAAAGGAACAAAAACCACCCGAACGGGCGTTTATCCTGCTGCCTGAATGGTGAGTGAAAGGCAGAGGCCCCGCAGTGAGGGTGCCACAGCGGGAGCGAGAGGCAGAGCGAGCACGATTGTGGTGTCCCTCTGTGTCCCCTCGGACAGGCAGAGCCAGCACGGCCGCGGTGTCCCTCTGTGTCCCCTCGGACAGGCAGAGCCAGCACGGCCGCAGTGTCTCTCTGTGTCCCCTCGGACAGGCAGAGCCAGCACGGCCGCGGTGTCTCCCCGTGTCCCCTCAGACAGGCAGAGCCAGCACGGCCGCGGTGTCTCCCCGTGTCCCCTCAGACAGGCAGAGCCAGCACGGCCGCGGTGTCTCCCCGTGTCCCCTCAGACAGGCAGAGCCAGCACGGCCGCGGTGTCTCTCTGTGTCCCCTCAGACAGGCAGAGCCAGCACGGCCGCGGTGTCTCCCCGTGTCCCCTCAGACAGGCAGAGCCAGCACGGCCGCGGTGTCTCCCGGTGCCCCTCGGACAGGCAGAGCCAGCACGGCCGCGGTGTCTCCCGGTGCCCCTCGGACAGGCAGAGCCAGCACGGCCGCGGTGTCTCCCGGTGCCCCTCAGACAGGCAGAGCCAGCACGGCCGCGGTGTCCCTCTGTGTCCCCTCAGACAGGCAGAGCCAGCACGGCCGCGGTGTCTCCCGGTGCCCCTCGGACAGGCAGAGCCAGCACGGCCGCGGTGTCCCTCTGTGTCTCTCGGAGCGATGCTCTCGGAGCCCTCCCGCAGCCCAGGGCCCAGCTGCACACACACCCTGGCACAGTACAACACCCTCTGAATGAACGCTCCTCCGGAATGGGGCAAAGCAGAGCTCCGCACCACGCACTGCTCTAAGCTCTCTCCTGGCTAAGCCCGGCTTTTCCCGGCGCTGCATTGGCCGGAGCAGGCTCGGCTCAGGCAGTGCCCGCTCCTGCCCCAGCTCACACTCAGCTCTCCGGACAGGACACGCACCAGGCAAGGAAACGGACGGAAGGGAAAAACTGATCTCTAGGTACTGACATGCAAGATGAAAATTAACGGCACTTTAGGCATACTTTAAAAGAAACATAAAATAACCCTGTGTGACACTTTGTTCCCGAAAATCATTCACCTTAATCACAAAAATACTTTGTACTTACAGCATTTAACACCTCTAGCAAACAGTTGCTGCAATCAGATTCTTTGTTAGTAACAATTCGGTTAACCAGTTACAGCATTAATCAGTCCAAAGCTGACTATTAGGGATGTTTCAAAAGGAGCATACCAGACAACAGGGGGAAAAAAAAAAAGCCAAATAATACTACAATTATTAGATTTAAGTTGATAAAAAAACCAAAACCAACTTAATAAATTATTCACTGCTGAATCAAAATAATTTCAACAAAATGTTCTTCAATAAACACAGTAATTCAAATGTCAGCCATACAGCTTTTAATTATCTTTTTTTCAAGACTTACCTATGTTTTTCTAGTTCGTTGTGTGATGACCTATTAAAAAGAGAAAAGAAATATTAGAGAAAGGATAAATAAACCAAGATTTAAAATATTTTAAGGACAATACCTGCATAAATTGCAAAAGAGTTCTCTAAAATACGTATTTAACATGGATTATGAAACAGCTTTTCTTTTAAATTAGTTCACTTTTAGATTCTTCAGGGTATCAACTTAATTTCCATGAGTAAACTGTAGGTTTGGGGGGAATTATAATATATTTGCATTTATTAGTGTTCTATACATTCAGAGACAGAAATGAACATTAAAAACTGAGCAGGTTAGTAATAAAAACAGCCCACGAGATTTTTATCAGTGAAGAAAAATTATGAGGGGGTAGAAAGTGTTCGAAGATCTAAATGGTAACAGGCAAGACCAAAAAGCACCCAAAAAGCCAGCTTTCAAGCCCATGGAAAAGCAGAAAGAAAAATCAACAGCTAATCACTGCTGTTGTTGTTGACATCTTAATGGCAACAAAAGAGGAATCCTCTTAATTCTTCTCAGTCTACAAAGAGAAAATAAAACCCAAAAAAATCATAGTCCCTGTACTGACCACAGCAGCATGTTATCCTTTTCCAATCTACTTGGATTAAAGATTTTTTTTATTTCTTCAACTGATGCCACGGTTTCTTTGCCATTAGGAGGCAGCCCTAAATTCTTGGGGGATTTTTTTTTTAAACTGATTCAGCTAAAAATATTCATTTTATTTATTTACACAGCTCAGATTAAAAACATTCCTAAAATGAAGTTACTGTCGCCGCCTCAGAACCAGCAATTTTCCGTACTTTCAGTTTTGTCCCACTGAAAACATGCCCAGCACGTCAGGATCAAAAGATGCAGAGGCGGTGGCAGCTTTTAGGGCTGGCAGATTATGTCAGAGCAGCTCTGCTGGAGCCTGCTGCAACCCCAGCCTGCAGCTGGGCACGGGTGCAGAGTGAGGTGCCTTTGTGCAGGGCAAGTGCACCAAGGTCCCTCCGGGGAGCAGAGCCATCCCAGGGGGACGAGGGAGCCCTCCTGCACAATTCTGCCTGGTGCCCAGCTGTCCTGCTCTCCCTGCACACACTGAGCTGCTTGATGCTGTGCCTGGGCGTGACTGATGGCAGAAAATCACTCCAGGCATACAGAGGGAAATAGAAAGCAAAGCTCACACAAGAAACATCCAGTGAGCAAACCCACGAGCAGCTGATCTCAGGCCAGTGCAGCTCCTGATCCTGCAAGGAACCAAGCGAACTGCTCCTCTGCAGGTAAAACTGAAATGCATACAAGGTTCAGCACTGATGCTAATCCTCTCTCACCAGAAGGCATCCCACTGTTGGTACCAGGACATCAATTATGTCAACCATTACCTGACATCTTTTTCTCAAAAGCCCATGAATTCCTTGTGTATTTTTGTTGCATCAAGTGAGCCATGATCAAGTAGTGTGTGTACTTCTACAATGCCATTTAAGTGCTCCTAACCAATGCAGCAACACCACGAGTGTTAAACACATTTTCTGTTCTACATTAATAGGGCAAGGTGGGCTTGGTCATTTGGCTATCTTAAGATGATTTTGTTTTTATATTCTACTCCTACTCTCTACACAGAGATCAGACTTTCTCCACAATCATTTCTCCACACCAACGTTCACAAAAATTGACAAAGACCATGCTAAATCCACCAGTGTTTATGAAAACACATGCAGAACAGAAGTTCAGTAGGGAACCATTGTCCCCAAACACCCTCAACAGGCCCATCAAAGACACTGTTTGTAGGGAACTTTGGAACCAGAGAGGAAATACAGGCTGGCCTGGATTCATCCCTATGACATGAACTCCTTGACATTTCTGGCAATTAGACACAAAGGTGAACACAATCACTCCAACCAGCCCGTTCTGAGCTGCCAGCTCCCAGCAGCTGTGGTGAGCACACACAGGGACTGCATGGGAACCACGGGCCAAGGAATTCTGTCTGCATGGAGTTCTTTGCTGGGCTGAGAGAAGATGCTGTGAGCAGCTGGCAGTCCTGCACACAGCACACCTACAGGGCACCTGTGGCACATGGAGGGGACCCTGGCATTCTCCTGAGGTACATCCTGCCAGGGCAGCTCTGGAGCACAGCCGTGGGTGTGCCAGCTGCCAAAGCCAGCAGCAGTGACCATGAGCCTCTTGGCAGAGCTCTTGGGGACACAAAAGCCCCAGCAACGCCTGCAGTGTGCAAACGTGGGCACCAGCCACACATTTTGGGAGGTGTCAGGAGCCAACTAATGCACCAACTATCAGACCCCAGGCAGGAACCAAACCCAAGAGTCATTTTACCCGAGAATTGCTCCATCTACAGAGAAAGTTGAATACCCTATTACAAAGCATGACAGGGATTTCTTTGGTTGGGTTTGTTTTCAGAAGACATGAACCCCTCTTGAAATACTGGGTTTTATTTCCTTCACTGTCTGCAGCACAGTATATTGCAAGAATATCCATCTCCTGCTGTTTATGCAACCTAAAGTGAGGGGAAAAAACGTAAGAACTGGTCTCCACACAACCCAGCACCCTGTTTCAAAATGGAGTCTTTTACTACTTTAGTAAAGATAAGATGTAGGTCACAACTAATAAGATATATGTATATATGTATTTATAAGAGAGAGACAGAAATATGACTGTGCTTTGCAGGCAAATGGTCTGTGGAGCCTCTCAAAAATGGCTTCAAGAGAAGGAAGACTTCTGGTGTTTAACTTAGGTTCACTCCACTGAGTTTGTATCTCCACAAAAAGCTTGAGGAAGTTGGGGGTAGCAGTGAGGAAAACAAAAGGTTCAGACAAAAATAAAGGGAAAAAGCCAACAACAAAAAACTCTGCAAAATCATAGATTTTGGGATAATGAATGCTGGTGCTTAGACTACACTGTTGATCTGAGACAGCTCTAATATCCCTTTAGCAAATGCCAAGCAGTTCACAGACTATAAATTTTATTTGTGAAGACATTATCAAAAGAAGATTTGAAAGAACAAGGAGGAACCAAGCAAATGCAGCCATTGGTCTGCAAGATGCTGTGCTACTTCTCACAGACGTCCCCAGAGCCATCACCGTCTATCACCTTCCTTTCCTCAATTCTAGGTATTGGATTTCAGCTTTTGGTTGATTCAACATTCAGCAGACACACCTAAGAAATTTGGACAGGTGCTAACTGAGATTGCAAGACTAACACAGAAAAGGCAAGGGCCCCTCCACCTCCACTGCTGCCAGTTTATGGGTGAGCCAGCAGGATCTGGTCACATGCAGGCTAGGCTGAGATTTCACTGTATGCAGGATGCACAGCCTGTTTCAGTATTCAGACAGCTTCCCTACTCCTCCATCCATCCATCCATCCATCCATCCATCCATCCATCCATCCATCCATCCATCCATCCATCCATCCATCCATCCATCCATCCATCCACTCCACCAGAAGGGCATCTGCTCAGCAGGAAGGCAGCAGCTCCTGACAAAAGCAGGGATGTATGGCAATGCTGTTTACTGCCCTGTGTTAATGGCAGCAGGTCTAGACCGTGACTCACCAATACACTTCCAGTTGCCAAAGCACTTTAAAGCACTGTAGGGAGCAAAGTCGGGTACTTAACCAAGTGCTTGAAACAGTGGCAGCACCTTACCAGTGCCAGGGCTTTCTGGTGCAGGCAGGACTGCCAGGGTGTGATACAGCCCATGTGCAGGATACAACTCCACCTCAAGTCATGCAGCCATATGAACTACACTGCAAGCACTTCACCTTTTGTCCAGGACAAAAAAGTAAGAACAAACAGAACAGGAAGCTTTACAAGGTGCTACACCTTAAGTGTCTGCAACCAGTTCCCACTCCCAAAAGTGCAGGTGTGTAAAAGCACAAAGCTTACACCTGCAGCCTTGTGTGAATGTGACTGCTGTGCAGCTTTTCATTGAAAGGATCCAGATTCATTCTAGGAAATTCCCTGTCCACATACCTAACCTGCTGTGGAATGCACCTGAAAATACTACAGTTCACTCCACAAAGCACAGATAAACTTGAACATAAACACATATTCTGCCTATTATTCATAGCTTCTGGGTTGTTGGTTTTTTCCCATTTGTTTCAAACTGGATACATTACTTTGCTTACAGCCTGTCAAAGAAACAGCCTGTACCAAATTAATCCACTAAAAATTAATTTTGCATTCTCCTCATAGCAAAATTTAACTGGTTTTGCAGATTCAGCTGGGATCTGGGAACCAGGCACACTGGCACAGCCTTGATGCAGAGTTCTGGCTCTGGGATCATATTCAAGTTGGTGCTGCCACATGTTTGCAGTGGCCAGGTCTGAATGTGCTTCTAATACGGTGGCAATTTGTTTTCCTCAACTGCACAAGCAGTGCAGCTTCCAAACATTGCAGACCTACTGCAGTTCCTCAGGGGGGACAGGTCCATTGGTGAAGTCTGTTATATTGGGACTAAAATGCATTATTTTGAAACCAAATGTGGCAATATCAATTGCTGTCCTAGCTTCAGGAAGGCAAACTGAGAAAGATCGATCGAATTCAGAAATCCAGGTGAAAATTCAGCTGTGTCTGCACAGTCTGCTTTGCAGTGTTTTATTCCTGGCCTCTCACAAAAAAAAAAAAAAATTAAGGAAAAATAAAACAAAAATCAGGCCCCAATCCCTAAGCTGCTTAGTGTGGGCACAGAAAAACATCTGCAGAGAGCAAGGGGCTCGCTCTGCGGGCCACAGGTTCACCCTCACCATGAGCCAACATCAACAGAGGAATTTGGACATTAGGCTCTGTTTTTATTTGAAAATCCAAATGCCGCTTTCATCTTTTTCTGCATATAACCCTTTGCCAGAACACAGCACGAAGTACATGTCTATTTATATAACATATGAGCAAAAATATTAATTAATTAATAGACACAGAAGATATATTTATAACCCGGCATTTATTTTGCTCCCTCTCCTTCAATAAACCAGCTCCTAAATTAACAGGCCAAACACACTGCATCACCGACATTCAATTCCTTTCTCTGAAAGTAAATTTAACTGTGACCTCAGTAGACTGGCATCTAACACTAAGATTTTGCTTTTCATTTTACCTTATTTCTGACCCTTTCACGGCGAAGCAGCTGCCTGAGCTCCCTGGTGCATGGGCAGACACACACCTCAAACCCACACACAGCTCAGGGTACCCAACACCTGGTGAGTGTCACTGCAGCCAGGGCAGAAGAAAGCCCAGTTATCTGCAGGGTTGCATGTTCCTTCGTGAGAGTGCTTTGCCTTGTGAGCAAACGTCACCAAATTTCAGATTTGTGTCGCATTCCTCCTCGGCACATCGCACATGTGTCACCTATCCGTTTCTTTAGAGCAAAAACCAAGCTTGACTTTTGAATATTTGCTATGAACATTTCCAAGGTACAACAGCAATAAATCCAGCTCTTTGTTTTATGCCTTTTTTTAATTCTAAGTACTCCTTAACAAGAATTATTAGACTGCATGGTACTGCTTTAGGAACTACATACAGCCACTGCTCTGCGGAGACATTTATTATACTATAGTCAAGTACCTGATAAGTGTTATTGTAACAAGATGTGACCCAGGTTTACCTCCCTGCAAAAGATAATATTGTGGCTTTTTCTAATCTCCTGTCCTCTTCGCAAAACAAGAATCCAGTTTCATTTGCCAGAGGATTTTGGTCAAAATTATTGGGGGGAAACAAGTCTGAATCTCAGCTGAGGACATGGTACGAACAGCAAACCAGAAAGAAAACAAAGCAGTTTGGTTTGTGTGACATGGGAAAGGGCACATCACAGGAAACTGAGAAGAAAACATGTAAGATCAAGACATTTGAATGTGCAAGTGAAACAGAAATGGCTAAAAACTGTGTCTGATTGCTACCAATAACACCGAGGATATTGTTTATCAACAAACTGCTAACAACCACTTTCAATTTTGATTCAAAGCTAACAGTGGACAAAGCAAAACTGTTAAATTCCTACAGTGGACAGAAAGCTTAGAGATTTTGGCTAATGAAATGTAATTCTGCTGGTATTTTTCCCTGCACAAATCAAAACCTGCCAAAATTACTTCTCACTCAATTGCAGTCAAGAGGCCAGCAAGCTTTTAGCCCAGACCTGACATCCTGTCCGAAGGGCTGGCAGCCTCCTGCCCCCTCTCCTGCGGGTCTGGGCTCGCCAGCCATCCACAAGGGATGGAGGTCTCATCCTACAGTTTCCTACATGAACATCACCAGCACCTCGGCAGGGCAAGGAGGGGTCCCTCAGTGCCCTTGCTGAAGCCCAGGGCAGCTGGAATCCGTCCCTGCCCATCACCCAGCCTGCAGTGCCTGGCCAGCACACCTGTGCCACGCGGGGTATGCTCTTCCCCTCACAGGCAGGCACACGGGGGAAAACACAGAACAAAGAAGAGTACAGCACGCCAGGCTTCCTCACATCTGACAGTTTTTCTCCTCCTCCCCTCTTTTCTGATTTTCCAAGAATAAGGAGATGTTTTTCATGCTTTTCTATATGTATACCTCATAAGGCATGAAAAAAAAAAACAATGTATGTGCATATATACATCTCTCACTTTTTAATCTGATCAGATGCTGCAAGCAGCAGGATACAAAAATAGATAATGGAAACAACAATGCCCCTGCAGATCTGAAATGTGCAGTTAGCTGCTCCTTTCCTACTCCTCCAACCTTAAGTATGTATTTTTAATCCCGAAAAACAATAAAATAATAAGGCATGAATTTCAGACATGTATGCAATCCCCTGTATGCAATCAGATGCCTCCCTGCATCTAATGCTCCAAACCCAATGAGTCTGGAAAATGGTTAAAGTGGAACAACATGGACAAACACTGCTCGGTGGCTCACATCGCCCACGACCACTCCAGATCCTCTGAACTTTGGCCAGTCGTCTCCCTCTGTTAATCTTTGAGTTGCTTAGGAAGAATTAACTGTGTTTCCAAAAATCCACTCTAGTCTGGGGCTCGACCCCTATAGCCTCTAAGCTCCAAACAATAATAAAACAGTGATGCTGGTGTACATCATGTATTTTGCCCTGCATATTTAAATGCGGGAGTAATTTCTCCCCTGCAAATCTAAGCGTGCAGGCAAATGTGAGCAGCGATTGCTGGGCATGGGTACAAAGCCCATAAGGACAATGCAGAGGTACCCACAGGGCCCTGCTGCTGCCCCTCTGTCCCTGAAGGAGCAGGGAGCTGCATTAAAGCAATGTCCTTCTGCTTCCCACACTGGCCAGCAAGCCTGGTACCCGTGCTGAACCAAACCAGCCACTGTCCCAGCCGTGTCCGCACTGGAAACCATTCCCTGACAAGCACTGTCCTGTCCTGTCCCACACATGACCCATCCCTCATCTCATCACTGCAGCTGGAAGCAAACAAAGTGTGAGTAAATGTACACATTGCAGGATGGCATTTTTGAAGGTTGCCACTGCTACGGAGTGAGAATCAGAACAACAAGCTAAACAGGTAAATAAATACAAATCTGCAGGCAGAAAAAAACCAGGAAGATAACTGCAAGTGGATGTGTGTGCCTCAACTTCAATAACACTAGCAAATTTGTAACCAGAAATCTTTTAATTCTGCTGTATTTGATAGATTACAAATCCTCTCCTAAAAACTCCTGAAAGCAGCTTACAATTCAGACAAATAACTATTTTGCAGCGGATGACAAGAGCCCTAAGAACAGAAACGATGGAATAATAGCTCTGTAAGTAACACAGATTTCTTGAATGCAAGAGACACACAAGAAATCTGTACGACTCAAGGAGCAATTTACAGCTGGAAAACTTATGGAATGTGTTTTGAATTTTTTTAAAGGCAGTGAACATACTTTATATGAAAATAATTAAAAATCTTAAGGAGCAAAGTGTCTCAGGACACAAGACACTCCTCCCACTCCTGATGACTTTCTCTTTTAAAATCAACTGACTGTCTTCTCATGCTCCATGATGAGACAAAGAATTCAACTAAAACTAAAACCAAAGTAGGAGTACTGCAATTAACAGCCCCCAAAATGGTTGCCTTGCTCGGAGCAGGGGCACGGGGGCACAGTTTGCTCCCCCTCAGAAATCTTGGAGACACACAGCTCGGCCGCAGCAGGCACCACCAGGGCGCTCAGCAGCTCGTGTTTTTGCTCAAGGAGGGAGTTCGTCAGCTTTTGATTTCGGTTTGCACCTCCGGTGTCCCACGAGCAGCTCCTGGCCGCCTGCCGGGCACCTCCCCAGCACCATCCGAGCCGGCCGCAGGATGCCCGCCGGAGCAGCGAGAGCGGGCCCGCCGAGACTCACTGCTCCTTTGGAAAACAAGTCACGTGCAAAGCAAGTTCATTTTAGGCTATTCTACAGGAGCCACCATCCAGCATGACCATGCAGAGCAGAGCATCGCTGCCCCGGGACGAAGCAGGCCCAGCAGGGCACGCTCCTCGGTCCTCTCCGGAGCAGCCCTGGAGGAGCGGAGCGGAGCAGAGCGGGCAGAGCCCAGGGCCGGGCTCGCTCCCGGGCAGGGGGCCGGCAGCGTCCCCGTAAGACAGCCAGCCTGCCGCACGTACACAGCCCGAGCAGCAAACAAAGCTGCGGAGCCTGCGCGCAGCCGCGCTCGGCTCGTGCCATCGCAGCGCAGGTAGCGGCTGCGGGGCAGCACCAGAACCGCGGCGACAGCCGGACAAACAACCGCCGAGCCGCGCACCCCGGCCCGTCTGCGTGCGCCGGCCGGGCGGAAGGGCAGGCGAGCCGGCGCTGCAGCACAGCCCGCGGGCAGGTCAAGCTCGCTCCGGCACCTTCCCGGCCCGCACCTCCCGGAGAGGCCGGAGGGCGGGCGGAGAGTCCCCCCCGCCGCCCCGCACACGCTCCCGGCCCGGAGCCCAGCGCCGCCGCAACCGGAGGCTGCATCTGCTCGGGCTGCCATGGGGGAGGCGGCCGGCTCGCTGCCTGCGGTTCATAAATGAATGCCGGGGGGGAAATTAGGTGCCATGCAAAGAGAAATCTGGGTGGCGATTATGGTGCTTAGGTCTGCAGCAAAAGCCGCTGTCGGCGAGCGCGGAGCAGAAGGAGCGATGAGGGCGGATGGGTCTGAAGTGCAGTGAGTACTAAGGAGATGGTGTACGCGTGGCAGTGTTTATATGAGAGATCAAAACAGAGCCAAGCCCATCCAGGGGAAAAATGGCGACTACCGGGATGGGGAAAACTGAGACACTGGATTAGTTATTATTTTTCATAAATGTATGCACTGCACATAAGCTAGACACATTGGAAAAGCTGACGATTCATTCTGAAAAAGCGGTGCGTCTATTACCTGTTATTCTGGGATTTTCTGGCCATGGTGCCTGCCTTTGTTTTCTTTCTGGAATAGTCACTATCGAAGGGTAACACTGATGCATAGCCATGTTCTGCTTCTAGGGACAAAGTCAGCATTAGTGGCAATATATTTTTTCCATGCAATTTTTTCCTCCTTTGCAGGAACGCTAGGGTAAAGAACAGAATTTTTTCCGGTTGATTTGTTTGGATTTTATTCTGGCATCTCTTAAAGAAGAGAGACAAAAAAAAACATAACTCGGTAAACCAAAGGGGAAAAAAACAACACCGAAGTGTCGAAATTAGGAGGATTATTGGAGTGCACATTAAAAACGAGGCGGATCATGCAAACCCTTGTCACGCTGCGCTGGGGGAGGGGAGCTGCCATACAATCACCGACTGCCACACACGGAGCGGCGAGAGGGATCCTGAGCGCTGCCACACGCACCGTCCCCATCCAGGGCGGCACAAACAACCCCCTTCTCCTTTGCTTAGGGGATTTTATATTAAAAAAAGCCAAGATCCGAGCAGCGATGCTCCCCCAGCGCGATGCCGCTGGCGCAGCCCGGGTCCCCCCCGGGCAGGTGCGGGCTCGGGGCCGCTGCCCCGGCCCGGCCGCCGCACAACAAAGGCCGAGAGCGGCTGGGAGCGCCTGCGGGTGCCTGACCGACTGCCCGCCTGCGCCCTGTACCTCGGTCTCTTCGCTCCAAGTACTCGGCCGCTTCCAGGAGGATTAACAGGGAGTTCAATTCCATGGCTGCCCGTCCCGAGCCCCCCGCGCCGAGTTCACGCGCGGGGACTCCCGAGCCCCCGGTTTTAAGCACCTCGCTCAACCTACATTTGACACACAGGGGACGGGCAGCCCGCGAAGCCAATGGCGAGAGGGGAACGCGCGCGGGGCGGGACGTAAGGAGGTGGCCGGGCCAATCGGCGACCAGAGGGCCCCCCCCCGTCGGGGCAGGGGATGTTGACAGATCCCCGCCGACCGCGCTCATTGGCTGCCCCTGTAGTAACAATTTAGAAGCCGAAGCTTAGCAACAGCACGTGGTGGCCCGGCCCCCTCGGCCGCTCATTGGCTGCTTCCTTGCATGTTAAGAAGGCCGAAGCCGCTCATTGGTGCGCGGGGCGTCATGCAAATGAGGGCGGAGAAGGGGGCCAATGGGGCGGGAGGCGCGTGCCGCGCGGCGGGAGGCGGGGAGAGAGGCGCGGGCAGCCAATGGGCGGGAGGGGGCGTGGCGTTGCCGTGAGGAAGAGGCAGGCGGAGGGCGGGGCCGCGGGAGTCTCCGCCCCCTCACACGCGCCGGGCGGGACGCGCCGGGCGGGCGCGGGCCAAGCGTGAGGGAAAACGGGAAAAAGGGAAAAGGGACGGTGAGGCGGCGGAGCGGCCCGCCAGGGACAGGGTGGCAGGAAATGAACGAGAACGAAGGAGATCATACTAACGGGACCCCGGAGGGGCTGTGCAAATGTGCCTGGCACGCGCATCCTTAACCCCTTGCGGTGTTCAGGCGGGAGAGGAAAACGGCAGCGCTGTAAAAACACGCGCAGGGACGTAGGAGAATTACTAAACTCTGCACAATGGCCGAACCTGCTGAAAAAGAGAAACAGTGGGAAGCTCTCAGAAACGCAGCCAGAGCTCCTGCCAGCCCTCCAGCCCTTGCCAGCACATTCAGCTGCCTTTCGTCATCTGGATGCACAGAAGCCGAGTACCAGAATAGCCTGGCTCCCGGCTCGGGCTGAGCAGGAAGAGCTCAGCACCTTCCTGCCCGCACCATCCGAACCCTGCATCCTTATCTCGGATGGCTGCTGCACAGCTGTTGCCTAAAACTGGTTGGTTTTAACACGAGTGAGTGTAGTTTTAAAATAGGCATATTTTAAGCTGTGCTGTGATCACACATTGGTACATCTTCAGGCCAGAAGTGCTGGAGCCTGTAATCAGTCCTCCAGCAGGATTGCACTTGGGCACACAAAACCCCATTGGTTTTAATTGAGCTGTTTAGGTAAGAGTTGCCCAGCATATAGGAGGGATGCAGAGTGTTGTCCTGTGTGTTTATTCCTTGGCAAAAGATGTCAGCCAGAGTTTCCTTTTAAGAGGATAATAGCAATTCAGATTAAAACAAGGATTATGGTTTACTGTTTCTACAGCATTGTGGTAAAGCCACATATATATTACACCTGATCTTGTATTAGTCTGTATCTTGTTGCCCCAGATGCACAAGTGTAATGTGGCTCTTGAACATTGCTGAAACACAGATCACATTTTACTGCCATTTGGTCCCGGCTCCAGGGATAAGAGAAAATACAAGGCAGTGATAAAGCAGCATTGTGATTGTAGTTTAAGAGAATTTTGAATATGTTTAGGAAAAGTCTGAGTGACTGTGAATTACAAGGCAGAAGGGAATTTGGTGCATAGATTGCAAAGGTAAAATAAAATTGCTGTAACATTTTCCACTTGCCTCTTGAACTGTTGAAATCCTGCTGCATGTGGGTGAGGCAGTACAGTTTTTACTGTAAAGCCATTGAACCTTGTGGCAGTTTTGCTGTTAACTGGAAGTAGGTTTAGACACAATTTGACATTGCCTTCTGTTACGAAACAGCATGAAACCATATATGCACAGGTCTGCTTTGTCCCCACAGGAAGGAAAGTTCCCTTTGCCTGACACATGCATAGGGCACTTAATGAGGAAGATACAAAGATGCACAGATAAAGCATCCTTGTTCTCTACTGCATCCACAGCAGTACCTCAGATCTTCAGAACACCTGTATTTGAATGGTAGTGTACAGGTCTAAATGATCTTAAACTGCTTTGCACACACATGCTGTGGAAGCAGTCACACATCCAGAAAGGCAGATGGATGTGCCAGGTATGTAGGTGCTTGTGTGAAAGCCCAGGGTTCAGGTATGGATTTACTGAGGCTCTGAATGCCAAAAGCCCTGCCCCACCACACTGTAAGCACACGATTTTACCTGGAAAAAAAACTCTGGAAACACAGGGATATAACAAACACTGCACAAATCTGTGCTTCAGGAGAGTGCACAGCCAGAGCTGAGCATCCTGCCAAGCACTGCCCTCACCAGACACTCCTTGGAGCTTGGGCTGATCCAATTGCTGAGCTGGAGCCACCCTCAGCCTCCCCTGCACTCCCCAGTACCCAAACTCAGCACCCTGAGGTAAAAAACATTGCTGTCTCTGCTTTCACATGTGGACAGAAGTATTTGGAAGACAGCTGTTTTAAGGAGATGGAGCACAATTTCACATTGATATTGGCACTTTCCAGGGCCTTGTGCCTCCACACTTCCCTGCATGGAAGGGCTGCTTTGGTAAGTGAGGAACCACTGAAGCCAGCTGGAGAAGGTGTGCAAAGCAGGGGCCAGTGCCATCACAAGAGGCTCCTGATCTCTGATCATGGTGGCTCTCTGCCACAGGAGTCATAAACTGCATTAGTCTGCTGGAACAGCATAATAAGGTAACCCCACACACTCCCAGAGCCCCTGCTAGTGAAATCCAGGGTAAATCCACACACATTTGGGAAGGACAGGGCTGGCTCCTGCCTGACAACCACTGACACACATTTACCCACAGTTGCGTTGAAGAAGCAACACAGCAACATTAGTTAATGTTGAGAAGTTTTATCAAGATTATTCCTCCTAGCAGTGAACTCAGCTGAGCCCTTCTCAGGAGACACCACAAAAGCTTTTAAATACCTAGAGGGAATCATTCTGGATCTGGTTTTATTTGTGCCAGGGAACCAGGACTAGTTGTGGTGGTGTCAGCGTGGGTGCAGGGGTGTAAAATGGGTGTGAAAGAAGATCAACCAAATTACTTTAAGAACTGAAGGACAGGCTCTAAGATAGATGTGTGCTGGAAGGCTTTGCAGATTTGGGTCTCTAAATAGCTTTCTTCCATTTCTACCAGCAGCAGCAGGAACATCTGAGTGCAAAAGAAACAGCTGGCCTTCAGTGATAAGGGGTAGCTGTCACTTCATGGTGAAGTTTGAAAAACTTTGTATTTAGAAGCAGAAGGGAGAGCCATCAGCAGCCACACCCTAAAAGCTGAGCTGTTTTGCAGCTTCTCTGCTGCCTGCACTTGGTGATTGGAATTGTAATATTTACAATTTTAAATGTTACAGCGTCTTTATTTCCAAAATCCATCCTGTGGCATGACTTGGCATGTAAGATCAGAGACATCAGAGCTGTTGACTGCCCCAAGCTGTCGTGAGGGCAGAGATCTGCAGCTGATGATCAATAATTTAAGAAACTTCATTCACTATTTCTCTCATATGGCCTTAAAGAAACAATTAGACCTACCCTGCTTTTCAGATTTGGCTCATTGTATCTGCTGCATGTTTCTTTCTTTTATCATTTAAAATTCCATGCTACATCATATCCCCGTGTCCAGAGATAAGCCCTTCACTGTGCCTTGGACTCCATCCCTCTGTTTTCTTGGGTGTTGCAAGGTTTTAGTAATTAGCAAAGACTAACTCATCTGCCCACATAGGAGGGAATCTGCACTCAGGGCTGGCACTGACAAGTTTCATCTCCCTGACTCAGTATCTCAAATTCCATTTATTCCTCATCTTACCTGTGATTCAGATAATGAACTCTGTTTCCTGGATACAGAAACTAAAACACCTGAAAGTTGAAGGTGGAACTTTTGGAGGAAGTTTCAAAAGTAACAATTTTGTCAGTGCCCAAGCCCAGTTTGAGACACTGCTTCTATTTACTCTGCCAAGTAAAGCATTTCTCCACTCCTGATCTCAAATAGCAGGTGTCACTGCATCTGCTTGGCTCTGTATCTTGATTGCCACTGGTGCACATGTGGCTTTTAGTCATCAATTTATTTTATTTGTGGTTTATTTTAAGTTTGAGGTGGTTTCTCTAAGTTCAAAGTGGCTGAAGATGGGAGCAGCCCATCAGAGGGCTGCTTTCACACCTTGAAGCTGAGGTTACATGACATGAAGATATGTGGGGTGTCAGGGTTGGTGAGTTGCTGCTGCAGTGCTGAGGGACTGTGACCTGTGGAGGAGTCATGTCTGTGCAACCTCACCCCATGAGCTTTCTGGGTTGGTCCTCGACCTGTCACACCCCTTCAGCTGCACCCAGGCGTTGGCTTGGAGAAGAGCTTGGTCCAAGGATCACAACAACAAATAGTACAGATTCTGTGGATTCCTGGGGACCTGAGTGGCTTCCATGCATTTGATGGGCTCTCTATGTGAAGCTCACTAGTCCAGCTCACTGCCTGGCCTTGACCAGTTGTTTGCTGCAGTGTTTGAATCACCAGCTTTCCCAAAACAATTGATTTTCTCCTGATTTTGCTTGGGATTTAGCACAGGCTTGCACTGCTGTGGTACACACATACTTGAAAGGCAAATCTAAAAAGAAAAAGTACTTCAAACTGAATGCCAGTCCCTTGTAACGTTCTTTTCATGTTAATTGCTGTTATTATGAAAGACAACATTTGTATCTTGGTGTCCTTGAGAGTTTGGCTGCAGGGAGCTCGTGTGCCCCTCTCTGCCAGCGCTCCCCGAGCAGCGAGACGCGCCGTGCCCTGACGCCAGGCCCTGCAGCCATTCCTGTGAGCAGGCATGAAATTATTCTTAACTGATTGAAGCGAAGCATAGATTGAAAAGCTTGAGAGACTGCTTTACTCCATCATCCTGCTCTGGCAATTTTAAATAGCGTCATCCCAAAAATTCCCTCTGACGCTGCTGCACTGAAAGTGCTTTACAGGAGGCAGTGGTATCGCTGCTTTCATTTTAAAAGACAAAAAAGAAATGAGATGGGGCAAAAAAACTGGCCAATACCACTCAGCAAAGGC